GTTATGTTGGTAGGACTACATGTGCACATGAATGAGTCCAGAAGGACAAAATGTGTCACAAGTAAACTTTTTCCACTTTGTCATGCACTTTCCCCAATATTGTTCTTGATTGTATAAAAATATATAATGTTATTGCATATATAATGATAATTAAAGATTTCCAAAGATAAGTGATCATTTGATTTTATTACTAATGTATACTTGTGTGTGTGTGTGTGTGAACCAAATAATTTGTAGTCTAATGATAAAAAAAATACATTTATCCTACATACCAGATATTTAATTTTGGACATAATTTCCTTCTTTGCCAATACCCTGAACCCAACACTCTGCCATTAATTACATATGTTGAACATTATTTGTTGAAATTTCAAATCAAAATTCTAGGCTTATAACTTACCAGGCTTATTGATTTACCATCACACACACACACACACACACACACACACACACACACAAATTAAACTATGTATTTATATTTGTGTGTGTAAATACTTTCTTGTCAAGTACATATTAGGTTCTGTTCATTCTATTTATAAGACAGTTAAGCTGATCAAGGGATGCCTACAGCTGCTGGCTCAGAGTTAGGCATTTCTTTTTCTCTCATCACCAAGTATCTATCCAACTTCTAAGAAAAGTAAAGCTGATCAAAGATCCATTGGCATGCTGGTGCCATGGATATTTGATGACAGTAATGAACAACTTTGAGATAATCACCATCTTTCTCCTATGAATTCAAATCTTATCAGTGGCTGTAACTTACCTATTAATTTCAGTCACTGGTACTTGTAGGGTTTGGCCTTGGCCTTGTTTACTGCAGGTATATTTAGTTAGAAATTTGTATATTCTTGCCTTATTCTACGGCTATCTAATATATGTGTGTATCTCTGGCATTCTAAAATACCATGTCCTCCCACCCACTGCAGATTCCTTTACTGAATTATTTGTGGGGAAAGATAAGTGTTTTCCCTGTTGTCTTTTGCACAGTTTGGAATTCTAAGTTTTTCTTCTCTGTAGACTGGTTACACTCAAGGCTAGAGAGCCCAATCTACTTTGTTATTTAACTCATAGCTGGGGAAGAATAGACATTTCATGCATTTCCAAAGGGCCTTTTCCTGTGAAAATAAGTGCAACAGACTAGCTTAGAATTAGAACTCTGCACTCCAATTTCACTTTCCTTACTGATATCTATTTCACTACTCACACGTCCTGGCTGTATTTTTATATTATAGGAAAAAATGCCAGATCAATTGTATATGTATTTAATGATATATATTTAATCAATTCACCCCAGGCAAAGCAATAATTTCACTAAGACACAAGGGATTAGTGGGAGTGAAAGAGAATAAGACTTCAGTGAGGAGAAAGGACAATAAAAGAATAGGATACAGAAAGACAGAAGATTGCAATTAATATTGCATTTAAATTTTTGATGATTCTAAGTGACAGGGCAGTAAGAAACCAGAAGGGTTCCACAAGTCTGAAAAGAAACTATTAGGATAGAACTTATGGTTATCTCTAGCTAATTCAACAATAAAACGATGGGACCTAATTGTCAATCTAGTAGTATGCTTGGATTCATGCAGTCCAAGCAAGTCATGCAAGATACCAAGAAGGAAAGCTCATCTGAACAATTGCCATGAAAATATTTATAGAAAAGATAGAAGGAAGCCACATCACAGTGATGACAAAGTGACTTAAGTCGAGATGCCAGGTCAGGAATAATTATATTAAGACTCTTTGAATTTTGTTGAGAATGAACGGACAAATTAATGTATGATGTATTTTGATGGGGAAAAATTGAGAATGAATGGACAAATTAATGTATGATGTATTTTGATGGGAAAAATTGTCTGGCAGAACACAGTGAACCAACTTTTCTAGCAGTAAATATAGCATTTGATTCAATATAATCATTCCACTTCATGTCAGTGGAAAATGTGAGACCAAGAAGGTGCAATGAGTTGTTCTCCTGGAGGTTAGCATCATCCATGCTGATGGAAGGCAAAATGGAATCTCTCAAACAATTAAGAGACCAGTTTTGTTTTGTAGATGTTAAAATAAACGAGCTATTTCTTGCCCCAGTTAACAACTGATGCTGATGGATGGCAAAAATGGTTCTCTATAGTGATTAAAAGATAGCAGTTTCATTTTGGAAGTGTTAAAATTTCCTATTTTTTTTTGTCATTTATGGTAATTTGAAATTTTAACTTTTTGTTAAATTGTTTTATAATCAAGCATGAAATTAAATTATTACTGTATCTTTTAAGTATTTCTTATTTATCTATATGTACATGTATTGAGTTTACATAAGGTATAAAACAAATAAGGAATCATTTGTGATAATCAAATCTAAAGCCAGAGAAATGACTTATATTAAGTTCACTTTATATGTATAAGCATTTTGTTTCTACTTTTACAACCACACACTTATTTAAATCCATTATATTTTAATTCCTTTTTATTCTTTAGTTATAGCATAAGGAGTGAGTTCTGTTTCTGCAAACAGAACTGGTGGCTTAGCTCTATTCTTAAGGTGAAGCAGAAGGTAGATTTTATTTTTTTTTTTTATCAAGTCATAACAAAGCAAAAATATTCAAAGAATATTATTAATTAGGAGGAATCTGTATTAGATTCTGTTATTTAAAGTTTAAATGATTTGATATTCTAAGTTATTTTATAATCAAAATACATATTTTCTCAAATTCTGTTAGGTTAAGTCAAAGTAATTTCAAATTCGGGGAACCAATAATCCTAACTACTAATCATACATGGCAGTTAAGAAGAAATTTAAAGTATACTAACATACTTTAGTTTTTGTAGTGTACATAGAAGAATTAAAGAAAAAAATGGTTATTCTCCAAGACAATTCCAGGTGCATACAACAAGGAAAAAACAAAAAATTGGAACTAGGTTGGTCTGTTCTCTCCCCACCCACCATATTCACCTGACCTTCCACCAACCAATTATTACTTTTTTTTTTATTGCTGCAAAACTCTTTCATAAAGAAAAACTTTCTTTAATAAAATCCAGACTCAAGAGTTTCTTGAAAACTTATTTGCATTTAAAAAAACTCCAAAAACTGCAGAATTTTACTTAAAAGTTGTTGAAATGTTGTCTCATAAGTGGTGACAAGTAATTGGAAATAATAGTTGGTTTCATTATATTCCCTTATATGCAAATACCTTTGGTAAAGGTATGAATCCACCTTTTCTCCCCCAGCTTATGGGTTAATTAGTAAGACTTGTATCATTAAGCCATTATTATCTCCAAAAATATTCTTACAATCTAAAAACATTTTTTTGGCTGCAAAAAGGGGTTCATAAGTCATTGAAAATGAATAACTGAATCAACCAACCAATAAAGTTAGCTACTTGGGTGAATTCATGCATAAGATATTTGGAACCATGGAATTTTATTGTTGATTTGTGTTCAAATGACTATACTTTTTCTGTACTATAGACTAAACTTTTTTTATTTCAATATCAGTACTTACTAAGCTTTACTTTGACATAGCTAAAAAAGTGGGTAATACAGTGAGAATTAAACTTACTAGCAATAGTCTGTGAGATGTGGTTGTTATCCACACTTGACAACATCTTAATCAATTAAGTACAGGGTGCAGCAAGTATTTGAGAACACATCTTTTAGTGATCCATAAAAGAAAGGCTACTTAATGTTACACGGTAAACACAAATTTTGAACTTTCTTTCTTATCTTTCAGACATATACAGTGCATTAATATGACAACTTCCAATCTAACATAGGAAAATGAAAAAGCATACTGTGTTTATTGCATTAGCTCACAAACACAGCAGATTTGAAAATGGTTAAATGAACTGTGGGAACTACAAGTGGTTCCGCAATGCTCCCAAGAAGGTACCTATCATAATGCACATCAGGTTCCTGTTGTCTATGATGGTCTTGAGTATTGATACCTCTAGACTTTTTCCTGTGGTTAATCACGGTCAAGGTCATCACCTACATCAAGTTGCTGGGAATGGTGATCAAGCCCTGAACTGAGGGGATGGCTGTACATTTCAGAAGGTCTTTTGCCACATGACTCATGCAAACCAGAAGTACACTATAGGCCAAAAGTTTGGGGGCCATCCTCTGGATTTAGAAGAATAGTTTAAAATATTGAAGATTACATGCTTTTTCAAAACTAATTAACCAGTTCACTTCAGGTTAGAGAGACTTTCTCTTCCTGAAGGGTTTTATCATATATGCAATAATAATAACCCATTAGTGCATAAAGTTTTCTTAAAATTTTAACTCTTTTTAATCTATTTTGTTGGCTAATAGTGATCTTGCTTGCAGATTTTAAATTTTAGGTAACACCCTTTCTAAAAGATTGGATGCCATGCACTAATAAGTTAACTAGCTTCAGCATCTCAATTTAGTAGGAGTTAATTAAACCAATGAGGGTATGAAAGTTACTAATTATTAAATCCAGAAGGTGGGACAAAACTTTTGACTTATTTTGTAACTATATATGTGGTGTCCTAACTCTCCTGGGTTGGATCTTCTTGTCAATTATGTATGGGATGTTGTTGAACAATAAATAACCAAACAATACCAAGGATTTGTTAAATGGACATGATGACTAATGTAAGAACCACCTGATTGGAGCATGTACTTACTTCTGTGGCCACATGAAGGATTTCTTTTGGCTTTTGGTGATTTTATCAAACCACCTTTTTTCTTTTTTTTTCTTTTCCAAGTTGTGTGTCTGTGTATTTGTAATCCTTTCACTCCAAGCAAGGCAATAAAGCCACTAAGGTGTAAGGAAAGGTTTACTGAGTATGATGAGAATGAGAAGAAAAAAATTTTGAAAATTTACTGATTTTTTTTTTTTCTTCATCTATTGAATATCTTTGCTTTACTTTGTATTATAATTTGATCTTGGTTATATGACACTAAAAATAAAGGAAACTCTACTATTCGTGAAATAAATAATTTTTATTCTAATCCTTCAATATTTTTATTTTCTATTTCAGTGTTAATAGCAAGCTATTAACGCCGGATTCGATTGGTATTTTTGACCCTCTGCCACAGAACTCCCGTCCACAGTCCTTGACTGAGCAAAATGGCAGTCACCGAGGAGATGACCATGGTGACTATGCTGACCAAGAAAACGCCGTTGCAGCTGGGGGCGGCAACAGCAGCAGCAGCAGCAGTACCACGGCTATCTCCAGCTCTGGTCAACTGAGTCCAACTGAGAAGCGGCGCAAGAGCTTCTTCCGACGGTTCTCTTTGCGTGGTATCCGCAGGCACAGCTTTTTCAAGAGCAGCTCAAATGATACAAATGGGAGCGCTGAGAATCGAAAGTCATGGAAAGGAAACAAGGGAGAGAAGCAAGACAGTAAAGGAAAGCTGGACAAGGTTGAGGAACAGTACGGGCATGACAATGTCACCAAGGAAGAGATTGTCAATGTCCTGTCGGGAGAGGACTCAAAGGGCAAGTCGAAATGGGAACGAACAAAGTTAGTCTTGTTGAAAGATAGTAATGGATACGCATTGAAGTTCTGTGTACCACCCAAGGTGAGTACAGCATAAATTTTTTTCTTTTCTTTTTTAAATACTTAACAAAAAAAAATGGTTTTGAAGTGTAGCGAGTTTGATAAGTTTGCATTCCGGTGTAGCGAGTTTGATAAGTTTGCATTCCGGTGTAGCGAGTTTGATAAGTTTGCATTCCGGTGTAGCGAGTTTGATAAGTTTGCATTCGGTGTAGCGAGTTTGATAAGTTTGCATTCGGTGTAGCGAGTTTGATAAGTTTGCATTCGGTGTAGCGAGTTTGATAAGTTTGCATTCGGTGTAGCGGTTTGATAAGTTTGCATTCGGTGTAGCGAGTTTGATAAGTTTGCATTCGATTGTGTGCGAGTTTGATAAGTTTGCATTCGGTGTAGCGAGTTTGATAAGTTTGCATTCCGGTGTAGCGAGTTTGATAAGTTTGCATTCCGGTGTAGCGAGTTTGATAAGTTTGCATTCCGGTGTAGCGAGTTTGATAAGTTTGCATTCCGGTGTAGCGAGTTTGATAAGTTTGCATTCCGGTGTAGCGAGTTTGATAAGTTTGCATTCCGGTGTAGCGAGTTTGATAAGTTTGCATTCCGGTGTAGCGAGTTTGATAAGTTTGCAGTATGAACCAAACTCTACATCATATTGCTAAAACCGTTTTTAGGTTATTTTATTTTTTGTGTGACTAATACATTTTCATTATTTACATGATTCTCTGACTTCCTCTTTTCTCCATTTTTTATTTTATTTTACTGATGTTTACCTAATTCAAAACCCATGGTCTCCTGAAGGTAGACAGTTACTGAGTGTGGTGTGTTATATGAATGTATGATGAGGAAATAAATATTGTGAAGAACACATTATCCCATGTATCTGAATTAGTATACTATGTTATATATATAATAATTATTATTATCTGAATTATTTTATATTCTATGACCTTCATTAGGCTTTCATTAATTGATTTTGTTAATTTTTCTGTTTTGATAATATTACTTATAGTTTTGGTTGCTTTTTATTGATCTTCTTTGTTTGAATATCGTTTTCCATTCTTATATCTTTTAATAAGGATCTCAAAGTTTTCTTTTGGATTAGTAGCTGGAAGCGTTAGATGCTATATCAGTAATTTGGTGTCTTTGAAACCTTTTCTGGCAAGGTGGGCAATAGTCTTTTTTGCAGGATATGATGGAGTGTTGTCTTTCAAGAATAGAATTTTTTGTTGGTCATTTGTATCGTACAAAAAAACGTCTTGTCCAAGAATATTTCTCTGCACTTAAATTTTTATCACCTGAATCCATCTTACACATTTATAAGTTTTGCCATTTGCCCATACTTAGAATATTACTGCCACAGTTTGGTGCTCCTGCTATATATTTAGAGATCTTTGATAAAATCCAAAAAGAATCTGCTATGTTATTGATCTTGACCTGGCATTTTGACTTCAGATACATTTCCAGTACTGTAACATAGCTTCCCTGTGCTTTTGCTATAAATATTTTCATGGTAACCATTCTGATTAGCTTTCCTCTTTGGTACCTAGATGAAGAAATTTAAGTACAATGCTAAGTTGGTAGCAAGGTTTTATCATTTTATAGTGGAAATGGCTAGATGTAATTGTAAGTTCTATGCTAACAGTTTCTTTTCTCTACTGGTTTCTTGCTTTCTAGTCAAGGTTAATCTTCAAAAATTAAATGCAATGTCAGTCATTATCTTCTGTCTTCTTAATTTCTGTTCTTTTATTGTTCTCTCTCCTTAATGTTTTTTTTTTTTATATTATCTCACATTCAGTAACCCCCTGTGTGTTTGTGGCTCATCAATTTTGAAGGGAGCTTATTGAATTTTGCTACTTACAATAACATTGATAAAACATTTTCATCCCTACATCTCTTGTCTTCTAAATGGCTTGCATAATTATTTTTACAAAGAACCCAATATCTATCCCAGCCACCTGATCTATCTATGTAGCTGTACATTCTTTACAAAAAGTTATTGTTGAAAAAAATCAATTTTTATGTATGCTTTTGTCCAACTTAAATGTTTCTCTTTATGAAGCTTACTTAAAGGTGCGAGTCATGACTTTTGCCAGTGTTGTCAATATTCTACATGTTTTCTCTTTGTTTACATTTGCAACACCAGCATTTTCAGATATTTTCTTGCTGGTCAATCCACTTTTCTTGCTCATTACCCTTTTAAATTTTCTGTATTGTCTTTTCTGTGGCATTCTTAAAGCCAGTTTATTTCTTGTTCTTATTTTGCCATTGTTTTTCAATATCTTTTCTGATTGCTCTGTGATCTCTGTAAATTGCAAAAGAAGTTGAGCAATCTTTTCTTTCCTATCCCTCAAATACTTTACAAGATTTTGTTTCGCTTTTGAAGTCAACTTTTGTATGACCAATGGCAATCTCTATCTGAAATTAATGTGTGTGTATGAACAAAAAATAATAAAAGGTCCCTGAATTAAAATCCTATGATGTCAAATGAGTCTAATATAGATATAGATAAAACAAACTAGCACAGAGGTTTACAGACTCTTCTCAAGTCAGGAAGTGTTAAGCTAGGGTAATTAATGATTTATAATACCAGCTTATCCTCAGTGATCCCAAGAAATTTTCCTAACACATAATTTTGTCTTTCTTTTCATCAAACTGATGATGTGAAAGAGAACATAAGCTTTCTCCAGTGAAACACATTTTTGATAAAAAAAATTTTCACTTCATTTCTTCATCTTTATATATATATATATATATTAGTATGATGAACACCTCTTGTATAATGAACATTCACACCAGCAAATAAGGCTTGCAGCCATATCACATTGAAACACCGCTTCACATACAATCACTGAAGTTAAGCAATGTAAAAAATCTAGTCAGTACAGAGGTGAATGACTGTTTGGGAATATGAGGTACTGTAAGTTTGGATGTATGTGCAGGTGGTGTAATGGATAATGGCTCAGAATTGTTAATTGGAGAGCCAAGTTCCAATTCCAGTTGTGTTTGGGAAAGGTATGAATCCGCCTCTTCTCCCCTCCCCAACTATGAGTTAATTGGTAAGATTATGTTACTAAATCATTATCTCTCCCCACCCCCGAAAAAAAAATTCTTACAATCTAAAAATATTTTCTGGCTTTAAATAACCTGTAGAAGTTGGAACAATTAATCAATCGAAAACCACCTAATTTCCCTATTACATTGTTTTTAATGTCTGTTTTTTCTTTTTTTACTGAATTATTATTTACTGTATTGTAACTATTTCTAATAAAAAAATATGAGCTGAAATTTACATGGCACACACACACATCTATCTCACGCACAGTTAACACTAGACCTGGCTTCTTTAATATTTCCCCTTTTCTAGCAAGATTAATGCTCGACAAACGTACATTTAAGTTTTAGATCAAAAATAAAATTCTTTTTGTTTTTCATTAAAAATACTCAAATTTTAGGAATACGTTTTCACAACATCGCCCACGTGACGACGACGTGATCATATTTAAACGGAACGCTGATCTTATAAAAGATTTCAGTTATCTGTTTGGATTGGCATTGCTTTTATGTCCATCGTCTTTTTCATGTTGAATTGTATATGGTCTATGTTAATTATGTTTTATGAATATGTCCTGAAGATGGTCTATTAGACTGAAACGTCCGACGTCAACATTAAAACAGCATAATCGCATATTAGGATTTTTGTTTGTTTTTTCAGTATATTTTCTTCATGCTGTCGGATCTATATCCATATATTTGCTTACATACATACATACATATATATATATATATATATATATATATATATATATAGTTTTAAGGAATGCTATATTTATGGGTTAAAGTACTCAATATCAAGGATAGAGCATATGTAAATATAAAAGTGGACATTGATGTCAACATTCAGAGCCAACTGTCTGTTTCATGCTAAACACAATCAGGCCTGACGATTGTGTTTAGCATGAAATAGACTGTGGTCTCTGAGTGTTGACTTCAATGTCCACTTATATATATATATATATATATATATATATATATATATATTAAAACCTGACATAGGTTTATAGAACATTGAAAATTCATATTTACTGACTGATAGATATGTGATATTTTTTTTATGCAGAGCACTATTTTATTATACCACTCTTTCTTGTCTATAATTTAAACTGCAGCTACTTTTTGAAGGATAATAAAATTGAAGAATTTTTCATGCTAAAAACATGGAAATTTTAGTAAAGTTACACAAAACTTGGGAAGATACATTTCAATTTTTTTTTTTTTTTTTTACTGGAGTAGTTTAGACAGAATATTGCATATTACAATGATAATGTTAACTTATATTTGGCCATGTACACTGTCTTACTTGAGTACAAATAACAAAAAAAGATTGTATATTAATAATTTGAATAAAAAAATGTAGGTATAGTATTTTTTTAATATAGATTAATACTTATCTATAAAAAAAATATTAAAAAAGGGTAGTTTTTGTCTGAATTTTTGGGACAAGGAGTTGTTATTTACACCATTTATATTCAGACTATTGTCCTCATCCTTGTTGTTATCACAAGGATAACAACAATAAAGATGAGGAAATTGTCTGAATATAAATAGTGTATGTAAAAATGGCTATTCAGGAATAATTTACAGGTGGTTAGTTCAAAAAGATATTTGAGTGTGTCAGGAGGAATGAAAATCTCGGGTAAGTGGGAGTAACAAGCAAACAGATATGCTTTTATTATCTGAGTTAACTTTAGTATTTCCCACGTGCGTAAGTTAATTTTTTTCTTGTATTTCTGGAATTTAAAATGTAAGACTCTGAATTTGCATTTTATTTGCTAGGCATTCAAGTTAATAACAATTTTATCTGTAAGTTTGGTACAAATAAAATCCAATGATTAATAACATTTTAATGCTGATTTTAAAAAAAAAAAAAAAAAAAAAAAACTTTATAAAAGATGTTTATAGAACTAATCCATATTTGG